TCCGATACTCGTGAACAGCTACTCCAGAGACCAGTGGGTGAGGGGGAGCATCGTGTGCCACAGCGACAGGTTCCTGCTGCACGCCAACCTGTACAGCAGCATCCTCTTCCTCACTGCCATCAGCATCGACCGGTACTTGCTCATCAAGTATCCTTTCAGGGAACACGTCCTGCAGAAGAGGAAAGTGGCCCTTATGGTGTCTGTGGCCATATGGACTGGCGTGATACTGGAACTGCTGCCACTGATGCATTTCCTGGAGCCTTTAACACCTGCCAATAATTACAAGTGCCTTGACTACGCAAGCTCTGGAGACCCTGTGAAGAACCTCATCTACAGCATGTTCCTGACTGTCTTCGGGTTCCTCATCCCTCTCGGGACCATGTGCTGCTTCTACGTGAAGATGGTTCTTTTCCTTAAAAACAGGAGCGAGCAACTCGGTTCCCTCCTGACGCTTGAGAAACCCCTGACGTTAGTCGTCCTCACGGTGGTTATCTTCTCCTTGCTCTTCACTCCCTACCACGTAATGCGCAACGTCCGCCTCGCCTCCCGAATACCAGCCTTGGGAGCCTCTGCCTGCACCCAGGCCATCATCAACACTATTTACATCGTCACGAGGCCCGTGGCCTTTCTGAACAGCGCCATTAATCCTGTTTTTTATTTCTTAATGGGTGACCACTTCAGAGAGATGCTGATTGCAAAGATGAGGCAGCTCCTGAGCAGGCTGACAGCCCCTGGTGAATGAGGAGACCTCTCGCAGCGGAGACAGGGGAGAAACCTCCCTTGGCCAGAGCGTTCACCGTTGTTTTCTTTCAGATAACTTTGTTTGTGCCGTAGAGCATGAGTGGGCAGATTGTGTCCCTCTAAACGCACTTGTTACCCTATTGCACAGGAGACCTCCTGCTGCTGCTCTGGGTCCCCCAAACCAGCAGTGACGTTCTCCCACGGGAGAACAGCAGGAAAGCCACTCTCCCTGCAGGATGCCCTGTGGCCTGTTAATACCACGAATAAAACATTGTCAGGGCAGTTCTTCGAGGGGGGGTATGCTGCTCTCTGATGGCTTCAGCGTGAGCCAGAACTTGGTGCTGGACCTGGATAAAACGCGCCAGGGCCGCTAATGGACACGGTCAACACGGTCCAGGGGTCAAAGTCGAGTCTTCTTTATATCAAGTGTTTGCAAACTCGGCATCTCCTGGGAGATTTACCTTTCAGAATAAATAACTGGGGCCATTTCCCAGGGCTGGATCTCAGCTGGGGCGCTGCAGGAGGGAGCGGGAGCTCGGTTGCTGGTTTTGTCTGCAGCGAGAGCGAGGAGGGCAGAAAGCTGCCGTGCTTGGCTGCTGGCCTTGCAGGTGTTTCGTGGAGCACCGAGGCAGCCAAGATATGTGTGTGTGTGTGTGTGCGCAGACAGGCTCCTTCACATTTTGTTGTTAAGGCTGCATTCAGCTTGTACAAGAGAAAAAAAAAAATTATTGTTTTAGTTCTTGATGCCTGGTAATAAATTATGCACTCTGTTTTGTTCTGATTTGTTTGTTGTTTTTTTTTTAAAAAAAAAGCCCACTCTGTGTTGAGTGTTTCTTGGGTTTGTTTTGCCAGTGGTGGAAATAAGACCCATCTTGTGTGTCAGAGCAGCATGGCCTGGGACAGGTAAGGTTGCTCCCGAGTTTTTGTCATAAACATCCCCTGGGTTTGTCAGGAGCGCCGGACGTGGCTCCAAGAGGCAATAACGCAGCCGGATGCGACTGCGCGTGTGCATCCCCGCGCAGAGGACAAAGGTAAGGGCAGAATTCCCCAAAGCAGCTCACATATTCCCTATTTCAAGTTGAGTCCAACACTGAAGAGGAATTTTCTTCCAGGGAAAGCACCACACAGCAGCAAGTATTAGGCTGGAACACCTTTGGCAGACTCACCTTTGCCTTTTGGAGCGGACAGACAGGACTTTTGAGAGAAGTGTTTAATGTCTAACACTGTAGCTACTTGGCACTTCCCTGCAGCAGCTCAGTGGCTTCTTTTTGCTGTGAGCGGGCTTCTGTGGGGCACAAGAGGACTCGGTGGGGTTGGGTTTTTTATTTAAATACGGGCCGAATCCCACAGCAGAAGCGGACAGCCCGCGTAGCCCAGCCCCGTGGTGGGCAGTTTGCCACGTGCCCTTCCCGCTCGGCAGTAGCGTTTCTCTGACGGTGATTACTGGCATCTTCACAGGGTCTGGAAACATCTTTCTTCACCGTTTGACGTCACAGGGCAGTTTTGTGACACCACCCGTCCCTTTTTTTAGCCCCATGACTTGTATGTACTGGGCGGTGGGCCGGCAGCACCCCTGAGTTGTGCACGTGCCGGCTGAGCATCCGCATCTCAGCTGGGAACAGGGAAGGGGCTCTGCCAGGGGCTCCTCTGGGCC